CACCAATGCACATAAAGTAAAAATACATAAATTATTTAAAACAAACAAAAACAAAGGAGACGGCCCCTGAACAACACCCCTGATTTTCCTCTGGCCTCCACACACATTCTCATCCTGCCCCCCACCCACCCCCATCTGTCCCTGGACTTTTGCTTGCATGTTTGGCCGTCTGTGGTGGACACTGCTCGTTGCCCATTGACAGTGGCTCTCTTCTTTTCCTGCCAACAGCATCCTGATCTGTTTAGGAAGCTAAGACCCAAGATATGAAGCCAATCATAGCCAGCTTCTTTCTTTCTTTCCTTCCTTCCTTCCTTCCTTCCCTCCTTCCTTCCTTCCTTCCTTCCCTCCTTCCTTCCTTCCTTCCTTCCTTTCAATCAGGCACTGGCATAAAAACAGATCAATTTAAGCTAAAGAATGAAGGCGATGTCTCTAACGCCTTCTGTGAACTGAACTCGGGTCCTCTGCAAAAAGAAAAGTATACTCTCTGAACCAGTGAGCCATCTTTTCAGCTCCCACAAGCATCTCTTAGAACATCCTCATTCCTTCCAGACATGCCGGTAACAGTAGGATTGCCTTCTTGCCTTTATTTATTTTGGGGGATGGGCAGGGTCCTGCTATGTATCCGGGCCGGCTTTGGACGCAATGTCCTCCTGTTTAGTCTCCAAGAGCTACAGGCACACACACCTGGATCTGCTGCTCTTCTCCGGCACATTAAAAAGTCAGCTTGGGCCTCAGCCGAGGAGCTGAGAGCTTGAAAAGAGCCAAATGGGCCTTTCTTCCAGAGCGAGTCCACATGGCTGATAATCATCTCTCACTGACCAGGTGAGAGGCTGAAATCGTAAGTGCTATGGAAGCTGCTCCTGCCAGTAAGTTCTTATCTTGTTCAGTTCTTATCCGAAAGATCCCATTTGTTAGGGCAGCATACCCTGTCCCTATCTGCTGTGACCTGGACTAAAGGTGACAGGGGAATAGGAGAGCAGTACTGACTGGTGCTTGTCATCAGCTTGCTCCAGGGTGTGCCGGTCTGTTTCCTCCAGTGTGTTGGCTGGAGTTCTATCAATCTTGTTAGCGATGGTTTGATATTCCTTCCCAAGAGACAGGCATTGGCAAGGATCCCCAGTCCCCTGATATGAATAGTTTAGTCCAATGCATCCCATCAAGACGGAGCTGTAAATTTATACTCTAAACACAGCAGTCATACATAAAAAGATAAAATTCTAAAAACAGTAACCTGCCCCGACCCCTCACCACAATCACAATGGCTAAGCATTGCCTGGCCCAGAGAACACAGAGGAGCAAGCAGGGTTGAGGTCCACAGGCCTGCTGGTCTGAACCTGGAAAAGCAAGCTGCAGAGAAGTTGCTGCTGACTATTGTTTTTAAGTGACTGGTTTTCAGGTGGCTTTCTTGGGAGACATAGCCTTACAGCCTGGACCTAAGCTGAGCTGCTGCAATAAGATAGACTCCAAGACAAATATGACCGCTCACCTCTGTAATCCCAGCACTTAGGATGAGGCAGGAAGATTACAGGCAAGTTTGAGATCAGCCTGGGCTACATACTAAGATTCTGTCTCAACATTGAAAAAAAAAAAAGAAAAGAAAAAAAGAAAGAAAGAAAAGAAACCTGTAGAGGAAGAAACAGGTCGCTGATACCAACAGTTAGTACAGAAATTGACACACAGCCTGATGAGATGGCTCTGCAGGTAAAGAAAGGTGTTTCCTGCCAGGTCTGACAACCTGAGGTCGACCCCCAGGCTCCATGTGGTGGAAGGAGAGAATCTACTCCCAAAAGTTGGCCTCTAATCTCATCCAGATCTGTATATCTCATCTGATATACATCCACTGTGGCATGTCTGCCCCCTCCCTCCAACAAATGAATGTAAAAAAAAAAATTTTTTTTAATTGACATGCTAAGTCATGCATTATTGCATGTGTCCATAGTCCCAGCTCTTCAGGAAACTGAAGTGGGATAACTGCTTGCACCTAGGCCCTTGAGTCTGTCTTGGGCAATACAGGGGGAAGGGGGCGGGGACACAGAGAGACTGTGATTTTTGAGAATGATCATGTAACCATAGCTGTGGCTGCGGTTGTGGCTCAGTGGTAGGAAGTCTATTTGGTGTGTCTGGCATCCGGGTTTCAATCCCGAGCCTGTACACATAGAACTGAGTTAGGTGATAATGAGAAGTATGGAAACATAAGTCTACAGTCTTGGTGTGCGCCCAGTATCAATGTGGACCCTGTATCTTTTTGCTCTGCCATCTTCAGAGTGTAGGATGTTTCACCCTAGAGTTGTGAAAAGGCTGCTGTGCACTCCAGACCATTTCAAGTAGAAAAATGTCAGGAGAGAAAAGGAAGCTTGCTTGCTTTTCACATGCTCTCTGTCTGGTAGCTCACGACCAACTGTAATTCCAGCTTCAGGGGATCGGACGCTTTCTTCTGGACTATGCAGGCACCTGCACGCATATGTGCGTACCCATACACAGTTTTTAAAGTAAAATAAGTCTTTTTGTTTGTTTGAGACAGGATTTCTCTGTGTAGTTTTGGTGCCTGTCCTGAATCTCACTCTGTAGACCAGGCTGGCCTTGAACTCACAGAGATCTGCCTGGCTCTGCCTCCCAAGTGCTGGGATTGAAGGTGTGTGCCACCACTACCTGGCCTAAATAAGTCTTTTTTTAATGGGGAAACACTTGTGTTCCTTACTTTGGTGATCAAATTATTGAAACAAGGCACTCCATGGGGTTGAAATTACCCCAAGAACCTTCTACAGGGAAAAGGCTTCAAGAAGCTTGGCACTAACCAGAGTGGGAACTCGTCTCCCAGAGAGAGATTGCCCACAATGCTGACTACTTGTCAGACTACCTCCCTAGAGAGAAGCTCGGACAATGATGGGCAGGACGACTAGACTGGATTTCATAGCTACGCGTAAACCTCACAACAGGAACCCATGACAGACCCGGGGATCTCTTTGGTCACTGGATCTCTTTGTTGTCTTCGCGATGTGGCCACACTGAATAAATCTCCTTTTTTTCTGCTTTGACTGTCTAATAAGGATGCAGGTCTGAGCCTGGCTTGTGAAGGCTGCCTGGTGCCGGTGCCGGTGCCGCCGCCGCCGCCGCCAACTCCGGTGCCATCGCCTTCACCGTCCTCTCAGATCACTTCCATTTGGGACTTTGGACCACTATCTGGACTTCCAGGTAACTGTGAACTTCTTCCCAGTCTCTCTGGACCTCTCTCTTCCCTTGTTTTTAACCTATGCTCTCCGTGTATTCCAAAGGGTCTGCCCTCAGTCCTTTCTGTTTCTGCACACCAAGTCTTTTCCAGCCCAAGAGCCTGCATTCCTGACTGGCTCTTTGGCATGTCCACATAACACTTCAGACTTTACTCAACATCTTCTGCATGAGGCCAAGGTCAGACTCATGATCGTAAACAGCATTCAGAGATCTCAAAACCAGGCTTATTTCCAATCATACCTTACCCTCTTGGGATATGAACTCATTTGAATCACAAGCAGTATCTGGCCCACATTTATTAAGAGGAACTGGAACTGAAAAACCAAAAACCAAAAAACAAACAAACAAACAAAAAACCATAAATGTGTCTACCTTTCTCACTTAAAATATAAAACCTACAACTTGAATTGTAGTCAGTTCCAGGCCAGCCTGGGCTACAGTAAGACCTCATCTCAAAATTAAATATATTAATTAACCTCAAGGCATAGAGATTGTGTTGCTTAATTCATCATCTCTGACCTACTACATGGTCTAGTATAGTCCTATATAGACTAGACATTAAGGGGGCTGGAGAGAGAGCACTGGCTGTTCTTCCAGAGGACTTGGCATCAGTTCCCAGCACCCGGATGGCAGCTCACAACCCTCTGTAACTCCAGTTCCAGGAGACTTGAAGTCTTCTTCTAGTCTCAGCACAGCACACATGTGGTACCCAGACAGACATACAAGCAAACACCCATACACATACAAACATTAGGACAGGCATCAGTAAATGTTTGCCTAACCATCATCTCTGAATAAATAACCTTAAGCTATAAGAATCAGAAACAGTGGCTATGAAAATTGTTTTGAAACCTTATTTTGGAGATCAGGTTTCATGTACCCCAGGCTAATCTTGAACTATGTCACCAAGAATGAACTCTTGAAGATCTGAGCCTCTACTTCCCAAGAGCTGGGATTACAAGATGGGCTAAGACACTTGTTAGGTAAGTCCTCTATCAACTGAGGTACACCCTAACCACACACACACACACCCCTTTTTTGTTGTTGAAACAAAGTCTCATCTTGGCCTAGAACTCACTGTGTAGCCAAGGATAATCTTGAAATGCTAGGATCACAGGCACAGACCACCAAGTCCAGCTGAAATATTTTTTTAAGTATGCAGAGAGAGATGATAATTATATTCTGCTCAAAGCCTCCGCAAGTAAGTAAGTACCCAGCAAAATCTGGATTTACATTCTGGCATTGCCACTGGTCACCTACTACCATCTGACCTCTCGGATCTATGTCCTTATCTATGAGGTGAGTCTGTCATCCTTTTCACGGCAGTCCTGAAAAGATTAGAAGCAAAAGGCTCCTAGTACACCAACCGTCATCTGGGTGGGCAAGCTGAGGACCGCAGTTCACCTAGACCCCATCCCATTTGGGTAATTCCTGGCCTAGAACCCCACAACCCTGGACAGCACCCTGAGGTATAAGCCCTGCACATAAGTAGTGCCCCTCACCTCCCTACCTCCCATCCGCATTCCCACCCTGAGGCCAATCTCCCCGAGGCGCAGCAGTCTTGCTCCAGAGCGCCCTCTCTGACCAATCACAGACACTGCTACCCCACACAGTGCAAGGTGCCAGCTTCCAGAAACACAGAGCGGTCTCAGAGCCAGCCAAGCCCCTACTCCTACATTAAACAAAAGTGTTGTGTGCACCTCTCACCCTCCCAGCTGCCACTTCATCCAACCACACAGAACAGAGATTCTAAACAGCTCCCTAAGACCCACCCTACTCCTGTAGCTCTCCAGCCGTAAGTCGTCAGTCGGATTCTAGGAAAGACAGGAGGGTTCTCCTTGAGGTCTCAGACACGAGGAGAAACAGAGGATGCAGAGAAACCCTGAAGGCAGGAGAGAGGGAGAGAACTCAGATGAGACAGGACACATTCAAGATACGGTATAGACGGCGGGAGAGAAAGCCAAGGCTCTTTGGAGAATTTTGGAGAAGTGGAGATTAGCGTGGAGAAATGCTGGCCCAAGGGGAACTAGACAGGAGCTTGCGTGCCCCAGACTTGCGGCTTTCACCTCCCAACTGAGCTAGCTCTCTCCCTGCCTGCGAGGGACACTAACCCTGACTACAGCCTCTTCAAGACGAGACAAGGGTCTAGTCTTTCTAGTCTTCCTTTAGACAGGGTTCGATGGCTGTTGGTCACTTCATGACCACATTAGCCACACTATGGATGCCTAATGAAGAGACACAGAAAAGCTCCAGGGCCCTCTTCCCTGCGCTTTCCTGCCACCCAGAGAATGCTCTGACTCACAGGGGGGAAAAGGAGAGGGTGTGGTCATTCGAGAAGTATTTATCTGGTTCCACACCAGGGACTGACAGCCAGCCTGCCCTAGCAAGTCCCTTCCTGTTAAGCCGCATCAGTATTCCCTCCACAAAGCTATGTGGCTCCTCTCTGACTACAATGAGGTCAGCTTCCTCTACCCAGGAGCAGAGCAGTGGGTTTACTCTGTCTTGAGAACTGCTTAGTTATTAGCCAGGCTTCCTCCAAGAGGGCAGCCCTCCCACAGGCTGACCAAGGGACAACCCCTCTTCAAGACTGGCACTTGGGGTCTCACTCTCTTAATGGAGCTGGTGATGGGTTCCCATGGCTTATCCCAAAGAAATGAACACCTGTGGAACCCTGATGCTGGGGGCAGGACCAGGGCGTCACGAGGAAGAGAAGGGACTCCTTGAGGAAAGTGCCATGCTCCATCCCCATCAAGGCAGCCAGCCCTCCTGGCTCTGCTTAGCAACTAGTCAGGCCAGTCCCCCCTAGTGCCTCCCTTCCCAAATGCACACAGACTCTGTCTCCTGGTTTTGGAAGATTAAAACAAGGGTCAAAGAATGAGTTAGGTGGGGTGATACAAGCCCCAAATCCCGGTGCTCAGGAGGTGGAGGTCAGAGGATTATTGGGTGACAAAGTAAGACGCTTTAGATCCAGGCAGATCCAGAGAGAATGGATCTGACCACGCTCTAACACCCACGCCGGAGAGAAGGGGTCAAATCGAGCGGGGCAGGTTGTTTCTCGGCTGTCTACCTGGCTGTTCTCCAGCTCATGCACCCACAGGTCAGGAACCAGATGGTTACAGGGTTTCCACACCACAATTCTCAGCAGGAACATGCAGCCAAGGAAGGAAGAGCCAGTTGTAAGGGCCACAAGGCAATTGTTCTCCTAAAATAGCCCAAGCCAGGCAGGATGATGAATAAAAAAAAATGGTGGATGAGGCAGGAAGATCTCTTCCTGGTTTTCAGCCCCTCACTATCAACACTAAAGGATTCCTAAATCACAAGGTGTGGTGGTGAATGCAGAGGCAGAGGCATGTAGACCTCCATGAGTTGAAGGCCAGCCTGGTCTATATAGAGTTCCAGGGTTCAGGACAGCCAAGGCTACACAGAGAAATCCTGTCCCGAAAAAAAAAAAAAAAAAAAACAAAACAACAAAAAAGAATTTCTAAATCTTTTTTTGTTTGGATGGGTTTTTGTTTGTTTGTTTGTTTTGTGTGGGTGGTTTTTGTTTTGTTTTGTTTTGTTTTTGAGACAGGGTTTCTCTGTGTAACGGCTCTGCCTGCCCTGAAATTCGATTTGTAGATCAGGCTAGCCTCGAACTCACAGAGATCTACCTGCCTCTGTATCTTGAGTGCTGGGATTAAAGGTGTGTACCACTACTGCTTGGCTTGGGTGTTTGTTTGTTTTTTTTTTTTTAAAGCTATTTATTTTTTTTTTTTTTTGTGTGTGTGTGTGTGTGTGTGTGTGTGTGTGTGTGTGTGTGTGTATGAGAGAGTGAGAGAAAGAGAGAGTCTATGATAACACCTGAGGAGGCCAAAGGAGGGTGTCATATCCCTGGAACTGCAGTTACGGTTGGTTGTTAAATTGACTTAACTCTCTCCGGCTCCTGGTTTGTTTTTTTTGGAGCCGAGTCTTATATAGCCCAGGCTGGCCTCTAACTCACTAGGTAGCTGAAGATAGCCTTGAACTCCTGGTCCTCCTGCTTCTGTCTCTCAAGTACAAGTATTACATGAGTGTGCTACCAGTGAGTGCTGGAAAAGGCTCAGGCCTGCCTGACCCTAGCCAGGGCTGATGGCAAAGTGCTGGACTCAGGTCCATACAACTCCAGTCAATACATATTTAGGCAGGAGAATCTATGTTCCTGAAATGCTCCAGGACACTTTCTACAGCTCAAAAATCTAGCCAGGCTTCAGCCCAGACCTGAAGTTGAAGTATGCAACATATAAAGTCAACATCTTCCCCCACATTCTCTATAAAATACAAAATCAGAAAATCAACCCAAAGGTCAACGCTGTCAGCCTGTAAGCCACAGGCCCAGGAAGCCAGATGGACTGCTTGCTTCACTGGAAAGAAAGCTACAAGGCAGGGGTCTGGATGGATGCTTGACTCAACCAGATCCTGGGCTCCTTTGGGACAGGCTTGGTCTAAAGTCGTGGTACCCTGGACTACTAAAAGCCCTCCTGGGACACCAGTCCCCAAAAGCCTCCCTGTGCACTAGCCTCAGCCCAGTGGCCAAAGGTCAGGAGCAGCCTAGCTAGTTCCAGGGTCACACTTTAGAGATGAAGGCAAGACAGTTCTAATCCCAGCCCTTAGCATTACAGGAGGCTTGACCAGAGTTCAAAGCCAGCTTGGACTACAGAGTAAATGCCAGGCCAGCAAGGGCTACCAAAACAGACAACAAAAACAAACAAACAAACAAAAAAACATGTGAGAGCTGGGTTCTGTCATCAGGCCCAGTAATGTGCCACGCCCCCACTGGGTTAGTATGGCTTCTATAGGGCACCCTCCAGATCCATGGCTCAGCCATGCCATTCAGGAGGAATGTCCTAGGTGGGATGTGCTGCATCTGAGACCAGGTAGCATCAGATGATAATCCAAACCCAGCATGGAATCTCAGTACTTGGAAGTCAGAGGAAGGCGATCAGGAGCTCACAGTAGTACTCAGCCATACAGCTAGTTTGAGGTCAGCCTGGGCTACATGAGACTCTGTCTCCAAATGCCAATGAAGGGACCAGCAAGATGACCCTGTGGGTAAAAGTGCATGCAGTGAAGCCTACAGTGAAAGCCTGCAGTGTAAACCTGCAGTGAAAGCCTGCAGTGTAAACCTGCAGTGAAGGCCTGCAGTCAAGGCCTGCATTGTAAACCTGCAGTGAAGGCCTGCAGTGAAAGTCTGCAGTGAAGGCCTGCAGTGTAAACCTGCAGTGAAGGCCTGCAGTGAAGGCCTGCAGTGAAGGCCTGCAGTGAAAGTCTGCCAACCTGAGTTCAAGCTTCAGAACTGACATAAAGGTGGGAGGAGAGAACTGACTCCACAAAGTTGTCACACACACACACACACACACACACACACACACACACACACACACACACGATAAATTACAATTTTCTTTCAAACCGATAAAAATTGTAAATATTCTTTATGACTTATCAGTAAATGTTTGGCTTATATACCTATTTTATATGCTTATATAGATATCCATAAAAATGTATCAGTGAAAAGGATCATGAGTAGAATGATTTAAGAAGACCTAGCCTGGGGCTGGAGAGATGGTTCTGGGGTTAAGAGCACTTACTGCTCTTGCAGAGGGCTCAAGTTAGGTTCCCAGCACTCACACAGCTCACAACCTTCTGTAACTCCAGTTCCAGGGCAGTCAATGTCCTTTTCTGACTTCCTTGAACACTGCATGCACAGGGTGCACTTACATACACGCAGACAAAACATCCATACATGTAAAATAAAGAACATCTTCAAGCAGCAGCAGCAGCAAGAGGAAGAGGAAGAGGAAGAGGAAGAGGAAGCAGCAAAAACACCCGCAGCAGCCCTAACTAAGTGGTGGCCCACGCCTTCAATCGCAGCATAGAGGTAGGTAGATCTCCATGAGTTTGAAACCATTCAGGTCTATTATAGCATGTTCCAGGCCACCCAGAGTTACAGGGTAAAACCCTGTCTCAAAGGAGAAGAGAAGGGAGGGGGAGGAAGAGAGGGAGGGGGAAGGGAGGCTCTACTCTGAAGGGCTCTAACACTAGCATCAGGATGAGGACAACAGCCTGCTCTGGATGATGTATCATCTTCCCTACACTACATTCATTCCTTTTTTTTGTAGGGAGGGGGTTTCAAGACAGGGTTTCTCTGTGTAGCTTTGCACCTGTCCTGGAACTCACTCTGTAGACCAGGCTGGCCTCAAACTCACAGAGATCCGCCTGGCTCTGCCTCCCCAGTGCTGGCATACGCCACCACTGCCCGGCCACCACATTCCTTTTTGACACAGATCTTGCTATATAGTCTGGGTGTCCTCAAATTTGTGATCCTCCTGCCTCAGACCTCCAACTGCTAGATTACAAATATGAACATCATACCCAACATTTAACCTCCCTTTAAAAAAAAAAATCAATCCTGCTTTGACATTTCCTGGAGACAGAGTTCCTCTGGATTTTCTGTGTCCCCATCTGAACATCAGGCTTGTAGTAGGGGTACTGTATGCTCTGGGGCAGCAGTCTGGGCTCCGGAAACCTGTCCGGCTCTTGGGCCCCATCCAATCGAAGGCAGGGAACAGTGCGGCAGGCTGGAAATTTAGCTCTGTGGTCAGCCTAATATCTACCTCCTTCATCAAGAACATATGACTTCAAAGTACTTTTCCCTCCTAAATCTAAAAAAAAAAAAAAAAAATCCTTCTGCTAACCCAACCAAGCCAACTTCTTATCAGTTTCTATTCTTGTGGCCCAGTGGGAGGAAGGAACCAGGTGGGGAGACTGCTACAGTTCCTGCCAAGATCAGATGCTGAAGAACCACCAACCCTTTGGTTTGGCAGCTTGTGGGTTTATCCAGGGCTTGAGCACTGTGTCCAGAGT